TTTTTTTTTTTTTTTTTTCTTAATTTTTACACACTTTTTTTTGTGAATCACCAGTGACTTCGCCACTACAGGTTATGATGATTTGGACTAATTCTCAAACCGTTTAAAAAATATGCTGTTATTCTCTTTCTTCCAAGTACAGCAAAGCTTGATCATTTTGCAGTACTTAGACGGTTGATCATTTCTTGAACATTGGACACATCTAGTCTGTTAGCTCTCATCCTTTTTTTACTTTAATGTTTTTTACTTGGTACAATCACTGTCAAATGGTGACGTTAATAAAAAAGTAAGGGCTCTTTTGTCTCAGATTTTAAGCTTTAGTTATGTGGTAGACGGTTTTTGATCTCGACATTCTTGGGTTACCTTCATATAACCGTACCTTTTGTTTTTCTATCGCCTTATTTACTCAGTCATAAGCAGCTCGCTCTCTTGCACCAATTACCCAATGGAATGTTTGAATCATTTGCATAATATTTCAACCATCTCCTAATTCCACCTCAATTTTCTCCAACTTGAAGGTAACCTCATGAGAAAACTTTTTTTGAAGGATGGTCATAGCTGTTGTTCTACAGATTTATTCTGCATTATCGCTGATCTGTTGCAGAGCATGATTTACCGCTTCTAAGGCAGTCCACAGACTTGTTTCCACGCTTAAAAGTAGTAAATTCCTTAGCCTTTAATACAAAGCGTAATTCTCATTCTTTCATTGCCATTTCTCTTCCCCAAAGTTTCTGCAGCTATAAGATACTTACCTTCAGCCCTTAGTAGATACTAAGTGTAAAATTTTGCTCTATTTTCTAGTAATGATACTAGGTAGCTTACTTTACCAGTGACGCGAATACTGTTATTGTCATGGATGGTTGTCTTGAAGTTACTCCACTTAATTAAGTGGTCACCAAACTTTAGTTTGAGCTTTAGTTTGAGCTCCAAACTTTAGTTTTCAGTTTGAGTTCTATCGGGAACGCTTTAATAACTTCATTTTAAGTTTCTCTTCTCTCTTCTGTTTCAACGTTTTTACGTGTTTATTAACTTATGAATGTCATTGGGCACTTGCTGTAGTCCACGCGATATAACTGTTGTAATTACCAAATAAACAATCTTGAAGAGTAAACAAAATGAGGAAATTCAAAATCATCATAAGATTAAAAATCTGAAGCTCAAAATCTACCGTGGGGATGAAAAAAATTGGGAATAAACAAAATTGGGGTAGTGGAATGTCTCTGGCAATTCCATTATTGTAGGAGGTCTTGAGGAAGTAAAGACTGAATTGAGCCCAAGTGTCTGCCTTCCAGAGGCTTGCCTCTGGTAGTACGTCAGAAGCCTTCGTCATTGTCGTTTGAAGTTGCCTTTTGTGTGCTGTTGCAAGAACTTCTAGAACTTAAAGAAGAACGAAAAATCTATGCTATCAAATTAAAATTGTGTCTGACGTGGGATGGCACATAAGGTATATATTTGGGCTATTCTATGTCAAACAACGGACTTTTTAGTTGATAACCGGAATTTCTTATTTTCTACCTATTTTTAGAACTTTGTACTCGATTGCAAAACTGGAAGACGCAACTTTGAAAGACGGTCTGGTAGCAAAGTGAAAGACTTTTAATAAGCAGGGAAAAGCGCAATTTGAATGCGGTCATCTTTAAATACGGTCTTCCTTGAAAGTCTGAAAATTCTTCCATGCAGAACAGATTTCGAAGATTTGATGGTCATAAGGCTACTTGTTAGGTGCATGCCGCCTCTGTTTTCTTCCCGTATCTTTTCTTCAAGGCAGATACGAACGGTGGATAATTGTCGCGCCGACGTGGTATGGTTCAGATAACACCTTGCTTCTCCATGTAATGAGTTGTCTAAATAAATCAGCTTCTGTATATTCAAAAGATTTGTGCACTTGTACACTACGGCCTCGACAGATCCCATAAGTTTTGAAGTTGTTGACTGACGGGTCGAATAAAGGAATCACCTGTTTTGATAAGTAAAAGTCCGTCTTTTCATTTTTGGCGACCCCTGCTCACTTTGGTTCGGTATCCGAAGGCTTTTTTTTCTGCTTTCTATTTCTGCTTTAAATTAATAATTCGCCAAATGTCCTTGTCCATTGCGACATCCATTTCGTCTTGAGTGTTTACTGATTGTTTCAATATTCTGAAGAAATTGGTCGAATCACCACACTAAGTGCTGTTTGTAATCATTTCTTGCTGGCGCACTTTGATCGCTGTCTGAGTTCGAAATAAGTCCTCATTCTAGTATCGCTGCATTTCCTGTGCCAGTGGCAGCTGTAAGTTTGATGAGTACAGGAGTAACTAGTACCTTTCCTATTATACCAATATTTCTTGTCTTCTTCTATGGTTTTCCTTTCTTCTGCCTGCTGGTTCAGGTTGGACTCAGTCATCTGCTTCAACCGCATTTCTAGTTAAGGTTTTACAACACCTACCGGCCGTCTCACAGGAAACGATAATAGGTTGCTCTGGGTTGGTGAGGGTTTCATAATGAGTAATTCATATCTTCTTTACAGAATTTTAAATACGGAAGGCAGATCAATAAAATTAACCAAGGAAATTGTCATACATGGTGTATTAGAGTGTTGGGAAGTTACGGTAGATCACGACAGAGACGAAACTCAAGTTTGACAAAGAGTATGTAAAACTATCGTAGAAAATACTGAGCACATGTGTTCTGAAGGTGGTTTTGAACGAGAAGAGGCAACAGTGCAAGAAAATTTGAGGTAAGAAGTGCTTCGGTCTTTGCCTCATGTCTTCCCACGTGCGTTCTCTGAATCAAAACCGATACCTTAACAGGCTGAGTGTTCGTTCCACAGGTACAGATAGAAATAGTATTGTTACCTTCCAAACTGGTTTTCACTTTTGTTAGAAACACCAAAATGCAATGCTACCAGATTTTTTCCAAGACAAAAAAATTTAACAGTAAGAAACTGTCAAATTTGATATAGTGTCACTGTTAAATAATAAAAAATAACGAGAGAAGCATATGTTTCTTAAAAG